ACAACCGGATGACCTATGAAAAAGGCATTAGAAATAGATTTACATTCCATTGTTATTGTATTACTAGAGACTAGCAATACTTAGGTTGAGGGGTGTGATTAGTAGTTAAAATTAGCATATTACTATGCTCTTTTAAGATTAATTATACTTTGATAAAGTTTAAGTTATGACATTTCAGGCCATAAATTGTACAAGGGACTAAAGGCAATGAATATCAAACTTTTATGCAACACCAGCATATTTTGGAGAAAAATTGGAAAAGTTTGGACCAAGCCAAGGATGTTCGAACGCCAACTCACATTTGAACGTCCACTTGAGTGATTGAAAAGTAGACTGCTGAAGACATGGCGTGTTGCAGCCAATAAGGAAGACTATAAGGTACTTGAGTACCACGTTCAAATGCCAACTCACGTTCGAACGTCCACTTGAGTGATTGAAGACCAAACTGATGAGTGCAAAGCGCCAAGATGTGCATGGAGTGCGAAAACGAGTTTCCACAGAAGACCACAGACCACTTGAGTGAGAAGGTCAGACCCCATCTAGCGTTCGAATGCCCTTAAAGCAAAGACAGAAGATAAGTTTGCACGTCATACAACGTTCGAATGCACATAAAGGAAAAACAGAGACAATGTTCGAATGTTCTTCACAGGCAGGTTACAGAGTAGTTGGCTCTTCACTTGGGCTTGGGCGGCATACACTATTCCTTCACACTCTCTTATCTCCCCCCCCCCCCCTTTTTTCCTCCTTGCCTATAAATACTCCCCTTGGGAGAGCCTTTGGGAGAGAGGATAGTTCTTGTAAAAGGGTAGAACTTGGTTTGTAAGGCTTAGACTACACCAAGAACTAGTCAAGAGCTTGATGGAGGCTTGTACTCCCACTCATGTAGTTAGATGTATGTTATATTTGCTTGTATCAAGGGAGTTAGTTCATATGTTGGTTGAGGAAGCAACCCTCCATTTCATGGTTAAGGAAGCCACCCTCCAAATGTGACTAGTTTTCTTCTACTTCTATTGTTCATGTCTTTCACTTCCATTGCTTGAGCTTCCTTCTTTCTTAGAGGAGTGAAACTCTTCCACTTTTCTAGAGCTTTACCAAAGCCGTGAAGGGTGGAACGTGATTCACTCATTCTTCGTTGAAGATCGACTCTTTGTTTATTGTACTTTCACATTGTAACTCCTCTACTTGGAGGGATGAGTATCACTCACTTTTCTAGCTTTACCAAAGCCATGAAGAGTGAGTAGTTCCTCATTCACTCTTTAGTGAGGGGTGACGAATATGTGTAAATTATCCGAAAGTTATATATGTGTATTTCTGTTATGCTTTAATGTTTTATATTTCACTTGCTCATTGAATGATTAAATGTATCTAGCAAAGCTAAAGTACTTTATATAACCGTGAGATCTTTCTATGTCACGGATGACTCTTGCATAGAAAGACTCGTTGGTTCAAGACAAGTAACCTAGCTAGATCTTCATGACAATATTTCAATCTTCACCATTATTGTGTTTTATCTAAAGAATGGAACATTAATGTCATGGTTGGATACCTTGTAGAAACACTGGCTTGTTTGTAGACGGGTTGAGTTTCGGCACAGACAATTCTTTTAAACTTATAGAAAGGCATCGGAATCATGTGCTTAATTCTCACAGTCCATCTTTATCTTCTGATTAACTTGTTGTTGACACGGGAATTAATTGAATTATAAAACACAAGTATAATAAATCGAATGATTACTTACATATTCTGATCCTCGAGCTAAAGGGTGACTATTTCACATTTGAATTTATCTTATATTTTATCTAGAAAACGCTTGAAAAGAATCTTATATTCTATTCAGGAAATCTCATAACTTCACACTCTCAAGGTTTTAGTTACTTGGTCTCTATCACTACTACATCAAAACACTAATCATAGTTCCCTGTGGATTCGACTCTAAACTTAACCGGATTATTACTACTACTTGACCGTCTGCACTTGTGTGTACACATTTTGGATCAAGTCAGAGACTTTGGTGAAATCCGTAATTTTTGGTACGTAGACGCAGCTCTCGTCACGTAGAATAACTTTCGTTCTTAGCCCGAAGTAATCCAACGAACGAGTAGTCATAGATCATAAGAAAAAGTGAAGGAAACTTTGGTATTTCTCTTTCCTCTCTCCCTTCTCTCTTTTCCAAAAAACCCAGCTCACAAATGGGCGAAAAATCTGACTTTTCCTCCCTTTTTATACTCCCAAATGTTTGGCTCTCATTAGGCCACATGTCTAACCTTTTTCTGATCCGATTTTGTTCTGAATCAATTAAATCTTGTCCCGTGTTATGTTCAATATATTTTATTTGAACTAAATTTAAATTATTTCATGGGTTCCGCGAATAAAATTTGATCGCATTTATTTTAGTCGTGCAACACCCGATCACATCGTAAAAATTTTGACTATCTCAGGATTTGACAAAAATTGACTGAGTAACTACATTTCGTGAGATGAATCCAACTGTGAGGTCTATTTCGTCATCTGAGTTCTAGAAAAAATCAGGTTTTCAACTCATACTATAACGACTAATTACTATTTTCCCTTCTTAATAAAATTTTAAAATCTTCTTGAGTTTTACATACATAGTGTCACTGTGGATATGTCACAATGAAAACAACATTGACACCGTATTATGAAAATTTTATCTTTTTTTTTCACTTTTGTGTTTGTTCTTCTTGTGAGATAGGCATTTGAGTAACTGTTACTATCTTGGACAATAACAATGGAATTGTCACTATCCTGTGGACAGCAATAATAAAATATTTTCACTATTCCAAGATAGTAACAGAGACACTGTTACTATCCTAGATGATAATAGTGGCATTGTCAATATTCTGGAGACTGTAACAGTGGAGTGTTAGTAGGTAAGCATAGCATTTTCCTAGTGAAAAGGGCAATGTTATGCTTAACAAAAACAATTTATCAAATCTTTCGTCCCAAAGTGATTGGGCTTATTATCAAAAAAGTATAATAGATTTGTCACACATAAAAGTATAGTCTCAATCAGTCTTGAAGTAATCAATTTAGCATGTAGAATAATTTTTTTGGAAGATTATGGTGGTTGAAATACATAGCAACATAAAACATACCTAGGCACACAAGTATCAAAGGGCATATACTTTGATTCTAAGTGTATATTTATTTGATTGTTTCAACATAGTGATAAAAATAACATCACGCACGCACATGTGTACTAACGTGTCAAGTGATAACTTCACATTAAAAAATATTACTCATAAATAAAATTACATATTCAACCAGTAGGAGTATGCATTGGTAAATCACTGTTATAGGTTTAACATAATGCATTCATATAAAAGAATAAAGTATTTACAGAGAATTAGAGATAAATTCGAAAGCTGACATAATAGAATCCTAAAATAGGACGACATAAAAAACTAAGTCTTGCATTTAGCAAGAATTGGGCACTTGATCTCCTAGCTGGGACAGTCTTAAAAGATCGAATGCTTGCCAATTAGACTAGACGAAATTGGTTCGATCATTTATTGTCTTTAAACTTCAAAATAAGAGATTGTTGTAGTAGATATGTGTGGGTATATGACCTATATATTTTACAATATTTACAATTAAACTATAAAATATGATCCATAAATTACAAAAATTACATCAGAAGCAATTTCACATAATATTCTAGTTCCAAACAAATTAACCTATATATTGATATGATAAATATAAAATCAAAACTATTACTAAAAATAATTCATATGCAACGCACGTTTGCAATAGCTAGTGTGTGTATATATATATAGGTATGTATGTATCCTAGTGTCGGAATGTGTGTTCTTTATTTTTTTACATATATATAGAATTTTATATGAATAATTTAATTATGAAAGATCTAAAATTAAGGATATTTAATTTTATTTGCATTTTATTCATAAAATAGGAAAATTTGATTATCAAAGCATTAAAAATTGCGCAAAAATTATTAAAAAGTAGAAATTGTAATATAACTTATTAAAATAAAATATAAGTATTGTCTGGAGTCTAAAAAAATTGACGGCAATGAATTTGGACTCTATTATGATTTGTTATTAATTTTTTAAATTAATTCCTAAAATAAAAAAAATGGATTATCAAAGCATTAAAAATTGCACAAAAATTATTAGGTAATGAAAAATTGCAATCTAACTTATTAAAATAAAATATACGTATTGTTTAGAGTTCAAAAAATTTGGCAGCATTGAATTTAGACTCTACTATGATTTATTATTTATTTTTAAAATTCTTTCCTAACATAGAAAAAATTAATTATCAAAACATTAAAAATTGCATAAAAAAAATTTAATGTGCAATTGAAATTGTATCCCTTTCCCAAGCTTCATCTTGATCATGGATAGATCACCCAGGTTCAAGTCCATAAGCAGTGATAATTGCCCTATTCCTAAGAAAAGGAATTTGGCCGGGCGTGAAAACACATAAGAACTCTTGACGTCTGGTCTCTCTCTCAAGTTTAATTTCGATCTCGAACTAACTTACTTATTAGGCCAAAAGTGAGGTTCAGAAAACTCGATTTCTTGTCCTATCTTAAGAACTTGACTCAAAATGAATGGATTGAAACGTTATTTTGTAAATATGTAATTATCTTAAATATATTAACCATTTCTTTATTTTCCAATCGCCTGGAATCAAAAAAAAAAAATTGTTGTTTCTTCAACAATTTTAACTATGCATTGAAAACAAAAAATAATCTTTTTGTTTCTTCAACAATTTTAACTATGCATTGAAAGATAATAATATTCTTTCCGTCTTTGCACACCTGTTTGTCCTTCAAAGTCCCAAAAAAATTCCGCCTCAACTCCTCCTCTTAGAAGTCCATAACAATGAACTAACTTTCAGCAAGCCTTATGTTAATTTCAAGGACTTTTTGTTTAAATATTTGCTTAATTATTTTCTTATGATTTTCAATTCAGCAGAAAATCAGTTAAGCTTTCTCAAAAAAGCAAACTCTTTCAATTTTTTCAAAACTTATATCCTAAAATTTATCTAATACAAGGTCAGCAATTTATAAAAACAAAATTATTTTTTCACAAGAAAGTTCATCATTTCAATCCATTTGTTTAATTTTCTCGGCATCTTCAAGTTGCTAAATGCCTCCCCCCTCCCCTCCAAAAAAAAACGCCTTAGACAAGTAGCGGGGGCGGGGAGGGATGGCCGATTGTGGGCTATCTGGGATCACAGACCACAGCAGCTCCAAGTGAAATTGCGAACCCCAAACAGTACAGCCACAATGAGTAATGTTCTCAGCCCTCCTGAATTTTCTCGTAGAAAAGCACGCTGGCTTCTGCAGCAAGAACATCTTCCTCAGATACGCTATACACTTCAGAATCTGAAATACAAAACCAACGCATGAGCGTAGACTCCGATGGTCCACCAGGATCTTTGTCATTTAACTTGGCTCCCACTTTTCTGTAAACTGTATAATGTCCACTTCCAGCTCGTCCATAGTGCTGCACAACAGACACTAGACGATATGTAGGATGGTCCGAAGGTGCCAAATGGCAAGTCATGCCCACCTGCATCAAGAAAAAGCACCTCATTAAGATTCAAACTTTTAATCGAATGAAAACAACACCATGCCCGTTAACAAACATTAATAATTCTCAAGTACAGGTGAGAAGGCCTAAATATGGAAATATGATATGCAATTAGCACATGGCATACTATTTAAGAAACAAAATCATCCACATAAGAAACATAGTACTTACGAACAGATAACAGAGGGGGGAAGGGGAATTAAGAAGCACCCAATTGTAACGTAGTTAATCCAGGCCACTACGTTTTTCATTTGATGCATCATGCAATAAACAAACCAAACCAAACAAGGTCTTTGCCCAATTTATTTGGATTCGGCTACATTTATCCTTTTCCTTCATTCTACTCTGTCAAGGGTTATACCTGTTTAGTTAAATCACAAGCAACCATATCATTTTTCCCTATTTCACTCCATATCAACTTTCCACTGTTCATTTAATTACCTGTACCAAAACAGATTATATGAAGTTATGCATAGCAACTGTATATATATGAACAAGTCTGTAACTTTTAATGTAACACTGAAATGCTGAAGCACTGTTACAAAGCCAAAATTTTCTGAATTGAAGTATAAGATTTACATGAAATCCCATATTCTAAATTAAGGAATGAAGCGAACACCAAGGAGAAAACTCAGGACAACAGCCATTTCTGGGTCAGAATACAACTAGGCATAAAAATCCTTACAATGACAGTTTGTTTCCCTAAATTCTGTGGATCAAGCCTCTTTTTGAAACTTTGGGAACCAATTAACTTGTACATGCCATTTTTCAATGTTAAACCACAATTTTGACAAGCAACCACAAGTCAGTCCATAGTAATAAACTTACTAAAAACTAGATAGAGCCCACAGCACAAGTCACATGACACTTGTACATCCACCAAGGTGAGGAAGAATATAAAAATTGTCAAGTCCCTACAGCTACTACTTGATGTATATTCCTTAATTATATACCTTTTAGTATTATGTTAATGATTAGCTGTTGCACCATCCAAATTGCTAAACCATTGGTTTTACATTCATAATTGACATATTAAGTATGTGAATCTATGTCCAACCGATGTCAAAAAAAAAATGTCCAAACGAACTATTGCATAGTGAGCACTTAACAAACCTTGTCACCAGACTGCATAGGCATACCATACAATGTGGTGTCTGAGCAGCCACCAGTATCAAGCAAAGCAGGTTCTCCTTGAAAAACTTGCCCACAAGTGCTACCCAAGGATTCAATTGCAGTTTGTCTGAATTCTGCTGCAACCACTGCTTCAAAAGAAGTCTTTTTCCCCATTTGCTCACAAATGCCTTTTAGCATTCTTGTATCAAGTTTCATGCTAAGGTGGTTGGAGTAAGGGAGTGGTTGAAATTGCTGCTTTGATTGCCCACTGGGAAACTTTTCTTCCCAGTTCTTTATTCCCACTCCACCCTTCATGAATGGGGACAGGTTCAAAATCAACGGAAAAGATATATGACCCTACAATCATCAACAACAAAAAAAAGAACCCACAAAAATGAATAGCATTATCATAGCCAAAATTTCTGAAGGTCCAACACAGAATACCGGACTATGTCTGGAACAAATTTTCCAAAAAAAAGTTTATTATGACTGATATTCAGAGGATATTTGCACATGAGCAAAAGATTGAGTAAAAAACAACTACTAAAGAAATAGCAACATAGTAGCTTATCCTTGCAAGTGCTGTTTTAAATTAAGGACTGACTACAAAATCAAACATACTAGTTTCATCAAATCATAAAATATAGTACAAGATGTCGAACAAATGTAGGAAATGAAGCACCTGAAGTTTAACCAGTTCTCCAAATAAATTTATTGCAGCACGTTGCAGGTGAATGCATAGAATCTGTAGGTATAGATGTGAAGAAAAAATGTTAAAGAGTAAGTCAACAATATCAAGTTAATAACAGAAACGTACCAAAGTTGAAAAAAAAAAAAAAGGAAATACATAAACTAGTTAAAATATTTGGCTTCAAAGCGCATATTTTTCCCATTATTTACTTCAAGAGTTATGCCACCCAATTTTACAAAAGTGATTGGGTATCAGAATGTATGCATGTTCTCAGCAGAGTTAAACCAGTAAACAGAGTAATTTCAACACTGAAAAGGCCTGGGCCGAGGAGAACCAGCTGGCTCTGTGTTCGAGTGGCATTTCACCCCTAACAACAACTCATCCGCTGATTCTTAGGCCCAAAAAAGTATCCATCAGCATTTTTCCTAGAATTACTCCTCTTCTTCTGGATTTTAAGCAGTCAAAACCAAGGTCCATTGAGTGGATGAACACTTCCATCTACAAACTTAGAGATGAAAAAATCAATTATACATTTTAGAAAACTCAGTTTTGCCCTTATAATAAATTCTCCAGCAGCCTAATAGATCATATTTGACCTATTAGAAACCTCCCATGTAAGCCTCCATTTCTACTGTGCAACAAATAATTTTTTTAGGCCAAACTGCACTAGAATAGGCATATAAAAGGACGGACACGGACACAGATATGACTGCTTAGTATATAACATAGCATATTTCATAACATAATTCATCCTCGTTTCACACATGTTTAACGTTTAACCTTCGAATTGTGTTGAAATTGGAGTAATTGAGTGTATTTGTGGTTGTAGGTACCAAAGTAGATGGAGAGCATGGAAGCAAGCATAAAGTCATGGGAAACCATTAGGATGAAGAGGAGTTGAAGCAGAGGAGCAAAAGGGAAGAAAACAGAAAAAGGCAGACCAACCAGTTGAACTTCCACCTGTTCATCAGGCTGACAGACAAGCTTCAATTGGTTTAACCTTTGTTCAACCAGTTGCAAAAGTTGTTTATCAGAAGGCCACCAAGACACTGCCTAGGCTTTAACCGGTTGAACACAAACATTCAACCGATTTATCAGAGTTCATTAGACTTGTAACAAGATGTTGGATATCCCTCAACCGGTTGAACCTCTCCTTCAACCGATTGATCATCTGATGGGTGCAGCACATACTTTCCCAAGTTTTGATTCGTCCAAGAGGGTCGGCTTTCTCCACTCCCACACTCAAGGGAAGGCTACCAAACCCCATGGGCTCTCTTTTGATTGGTTGCCGACACCTCCAAGGTTTCACATGCACACTTTGATTGGACGACACCAGCAGAGGAACCTTTTTTTAGGAGATCACCCACCACCCACGCCACACATTCGGCCAATGAGGAGGAATAAAAAAAGGCTATATATATATATATATACATTCCTATACACATAGAAGAGCCGCCTCTAGTCCTTCGCTTAGTTTAAAAGTTTAGTTTTGAATTTTACATTTTGAAAGCTTTACCGAGTTCGGAGAAGACAACTATTGTATTTTATTTTCCATTTAATTTTGTTCTTGTATTTAAACTTAGCATTTTGAATCAAATCTGGTCGAAGCATTTCCTTTCAATCTTCTTGTTCATTTATAGTGGTTTTACATATTGTTTATTGCCGATTCTTGTTTGATGGGTTTTACTTCCGCCTAAGGTTCGGCACGATCTGAGGGATGATTCTTGTTTGTGATTAAGCATTGTTGATTCTCTAATATATTCTAACCACGTAGTATGTTTTATAGATGGTAAAAATCAATTTTGAAAACAAGTGTTTATGTGTACACTTTGATTTTTCGTCAATGGATTGCCGACAAGATTAATGCTTAGAGTACATGTTTACATCTATGTATTTATCACTCTATATTTCATTACCTACCTTCAAAGCAACATACATCTTAAAACTGAATTTTGTTGAATATTCTCCGGCCAATTAAATTTGATTATGAGTTTGAATGAGTTATAAATGAGAATCAATAAGCTTGATTACGACAAGATGATTCTCGAGAATTGGCCGACTGTTTTCATCCAATTACTACACCAGTTTTTATTCTCACCATTTTCCACTCGATCAAAAGAGTTTAAATTTAGCTTGCAAAAATATCACCATTCGAATACCATTTGTCCCTAAGTAGACTACCTCGAATTTTCTAAATAACTACACTAAACACACTTTCTACACTTGAAAAATATATTATTATATTTCATGGGTGCAAATATACTTTGAAAGAGATGGTTGAATCATTCTTAAAGACAAATCCTTGCTGAGAAGAGCATCCTTTGTAAACCAAGAAAAAAGTGAGCAAGTAACAACACAACACTGACACGCAAACACAATATTTCTAAAAAAAGGTAGGACACGAACAGGTTAACGACACACTATAAATAATTGTATTTTAGATATAAAATTATATTATATATCACAACTACAGTATAATGATATATTATTCATAAAAAAAATTAGTACTTTACGATAAGTAAATGTTATATCCAGTCATCTAGTGTAAATTGCTAGACTAAATTATCATGGTAATCAATAATCATCAATTTTTTCATAAACAACATATACCCAACATATATAATTTACATGATTGTTCTCATTTTTTCAATTCCTTTTTTTAAAAAACTTTTATGTCCTTTTTAGTTTTATTATTGTATTTTGAGTACAACTTCAACATATCTAGTCCGGATAATTTTATGTTATCTCACAATATAAGATACTTATTAGTCAAATTCTTAAACTTTGTTAATCATATGTGAACAAATATTTATTGTTTAATAGTAGACACGGTCTAAAGATGTGTCGAACACGTCACAAGAAATGTCAAATAAGTGTTCAAAATTAAAATTTTATCATTTAATTATAGACACGGATAAAAGAGTATCGAACATGTGTCTAAGGAGGGTCGGTGTTCGATCACGTGTTCGACATGGATATGTCATATTTTTTAGAGTGTGTGGTTCATAATAAAGATAATAAGTTAGTGTTCACACCTTTGGACTACGTGCAATACTCAATTGTTTGAAAGTACGTGAAAATCTATCCGACCAAGGTAGTGCTCCAAGGCGAGAAAGATTTTTGCAACCACAAGAACTTTGCTCGATGCAGCTATTAATTTGTTCAATATCTGTCTGACAAAAAAGGCACCAAAACCATGTAAGTAAAATATACAGCAACAAGATAAGGATTCGCATTTAGAAAAACTCAATAGGAGAAATCAATTCAATGAAATAGAGTTCAAGGAAACCAAGGAACATATTAAATGATGATATACAAAGAATTCGTTTGGTTACCATATTGTAAAATAAAGGATTGTATTAACTAATACGGGTTAATTCTGTATAAGTGGATAAAACACGAGATTATATGTCAGATTAAAATAATAACCATGGTAATACAATGTTTGCTAAGACATTGTATTAAGGATGGGATAATAGAGTACAATACAAATTACATATTGACTAAAAAACATCAATTTAATCTAGTTATTCATGGTTTTGTTTATTTGGTAGGCAAAATAGTAAAATATAACCCAATATGATTGCATTGTATTACAATACCACCTCTTCATGTGGTATTAAAATTGGCTCAATAGTACGGGTAGAGTGTATTATTCGTCTACGTATTTTATACGTATACGAAATAAGCCTAGATATAATATGAAATATTTTTGACAACCAAATATAATATAAGGTTGGATTAAAGAGTTTTAATTTGTCGTGACTACTTAATCCACCCCTTAATACTGCAACCAAATGACACCAAAAGGTGTAAACTATGTGGAATATAGAGACTCTTGGATATGCATCATATTTGTGCCACAATTTAGTTCTAGTGAGTAAGCTAATTTAATAATTTAACAAACTTAATAGTATGTCATAGTTTACTACCTCACTTTCATCTAACAAGGATAAATACTTTATTGCAGCAGTATGCCAACAGTGGCTGCAGCAGTAATTCTCCAGTTTTTCTGCAACAAAGAACTGCTTCAAGCAATCCTCTACAGAGCATCCAGCCACCTAGGATCATATGGGGGAAAAAATAAACGGTACAATCTTTGGGACAAAAGATATAATTTGAATATGGAAACAAGAAGAGGGTTAAGATAAAAAAATGATAAATTGGCATAAACATACAATGGTCGCACCACTACTGAGCATTGGCGAAAGGTGCAAACTATGAAAGAATTGAAAGTCCAGAGAGATCTGCCAATGAGGAGAGAGAGATGAATGAAATAAGTATGCATCTGCAAAATTAAAGATTATGAAAGAAGGGAAGCTGGAAAATTAGAAGTGTGCCACATGAAACGAAAATGTGAGGAGATGATCCATTATCCCAAAACACTTGCACGGGAGACCTCCCGAACCAAAAACCAACCAGCACAGATAGGTAACTGACTAATTGTAGACCATGGGATACAAAGTTTTCATGCCAATCTGAAGGGTGTGCAACAAATAAAATGGCAGCATTTCCTTATCAGTTTCTTCTTCATAGATCCAATTGCTACCATTATGCATGAACTACCAAAATTTTAAACAATAAACACCCCATGCATAGCATTGATTTTTTAAGATATGCTAAGTAAAAAGGAAGACTCGTCGACCATTGAAAATTTATGATAATCAATTGTGACTAAAAATATTCTTGTGAGTACCATTCAACCTGAAATGAACAGCTTTGGCAAGTTAAAATGCTGCCAAGAATCCCATCGAAAGGCCCAATGAATGCTCGCTGCCACCTTTGCTGTTCACCTTGGTGCACAGACCTCGTTGGAGTAAGAATCCTACAATTTGGAAAGGCAGCCACCTCTGCCAAAGAACCATGATTTGTTGCATAACATTCTGCCAATTCTTCTCTTAAAGAAGATAGAATATGAAAGAAAGCTTCTTCTGCATCCTAAAACTGAAAACGGTAAGCAAGACTGCAGATCACAAATAATCAAAATTGTTGCAAAGGGTGATCATAAACAATTGCACCTGCTGGTTAGTTAGGTTAAAATTGGGATTATAATGAGTCATTGCAAACATTACTTTCTGTGGACTAGATACTTCTCTTCCATGTCGAGCAGTACACAATTCTGCATATAAATAATGCTTACCGTCAGTTAACAACAATAAGGCAAACCAGATTGACAGGTTCTAATCATAATTAGAATTTCATGAAGCAACAAACAAGTGTATAAATTCATTGAACCCACTAGGCTGCAACTTTTGGTCCAAGTTCATGGTCCAATACATACACACATATGGAAAAAAGAATGCAACCTACATGTCTCTTGAGCACTAAATGACATGGCAACATTGAAAAAAAAAAAAAAAACCATTGTGATGATCATTACATGCATTTTTTGGGAAAGATGTAAAACAAAATAAAATTCAAATTGAGGAGAAACAGACCCCCAATGTTCTTTAGAAAACTCAATAGTGCTCCACTACTAACTCATTTATTAGATAATCTCATCTTAATTAGCTTTAATAATATACATACATACATATATATATAATCAATCGTGTAACATTCCATTCCCCCTTTAAAAGCTTTGTCTACAAAGTTTGATTTGCAGGTAGAACATAAGGCAGTCAAAGCCACTTCCTTGTCCTCGTAACAATCAACATGAAAGATATTTTCACAACAGATAAGCTTAGAATAAGTTTGTAATAATTAGACTGCAACATTGAAGTTCAAAGCATAAGAACACGTATCTTCACTAGATCATAACAGTCACACCAAGATCTAAAGCTCTACTGACTGTTTTAGCATTATCACAACGAGGAGGTCAGGAGAAGGCCAATGGAGTCCCAAAGACCAGCAGTACTGTCTTTGTTACCAGTAGATACTTCCTGACAAGCAACTGCAAGGAAATGGAACCCACATCTGTCAATTATACAATATATCCTCCATTCAATTTCTGATTTGTTATGTGCTAGATTGAGAATCTGCTCTGGAGCACCCTTGCTCTCTCTATACATTTTACCAGTTCTATCTGCATATGCAAGAGTTGTCTTATTGTCAGTTGGATTGAAGAGGAGGAAGTAAACTACTTTAATTCCAGCCCGTGCCTCCTTAGGTTCTGCTACCATTGAAATAATTGCAGCAACAAGAGCATATTGATTCTAGAACCCTGATGCTCTTGCAGCAATTAATACAACTGTATCCTTGCTTGCTGGCTCATCAATGATTTTTTATTCCTTCTCATCAACAAGGGGGTATTGTTCTTTATGCCAGTTGACTGCCAATATTGGGTGGCATTTATATTCTCCTCAACAACAAGTGAAAGTCCTCTTGCATGCATTGATTTTCCTCAGTAAATTTATTGAATTCTCTTTAAAAGTCATCAAGGTTAAAATCTCCGATTGGTATACGCAGTTTTTAGGAAATGTATAAAGCAGAAAAATCAGAATATGTGAGAAAGAGAGCCCACCTCAAGGGAGGCAGAAACCTTCATTCAATTCGAGGAGATCCCAATCTCCAAAACATTCATAAGAAGATTATCCATCACTATGCAATCTCCCCTTTTAAATAATAGTAGGGCCTTTATATAAAGAATGATACCCCATGACTCCACTACCTAAGTAATAAATAAGAAAATCCACTAATGAAAACCACTAATCCATGTACTAAATAATCACCTATTAACTACCTTTGATGTGATATACATAAATAAGTAAAAATCAAGCACATAACAATGACCACCAAACCAATACGTAAGGATTTTGTAGTGATACAAAATGTACTGTGATCACCAACTATTGTTTTCACTTTTCAACAATCCTGCTACTCCATACCAAATGACAAAAAATTGATAATATGTGTTAAGAATATTAGGGTAGTATATGTAAATTGTTAATAGTAAGAGAGTGTATGTGTAATTATTATTATTGTGAATTAACTATAAATATAAATGTTGTATGAGAGCTAGGTTAAGTTTTTAACCTCTCTCTGTTTTCTCTCTAATATTGTGTTAATTCTTTACACTTAACATGGTATCATAGCATTACGATCATAAATATATATTTTGAATAAATTAACCTTTTCTTTTTGTGATACTGTGTTCGTCGTTCACTATGTTATGGTGGTGTTGCGGTGGTGGTTTGTTGTGGTGTTGTCGAAATTCATTGTGCTGTCGAATTTCGTCGTTGTTCACTGTGTTGTGGTTGATTGTCGCCGTCTGTGTTGTGGCACTGTTGTGGTGTCGCTTGTCGTGGTGGAGAGGCGCAGTCGAAGACCAAGGTGGTTCTAGCCTTTGTGGTGGTGGTGGTGTGGCTATTGTGGTGGCTTGTTGTTCGTCGTTAGTGGTGAGGCGCAGTCGCAACAGAAGGGTCTTTAGAACCCTAACCAACGAAGAAGACAAAACCCAAACCCGACCCACTTCAAGTCAACCCAAATTTGATCCAACCCAGATTTGGTCTCGGTTTAGCTCCTTTATGTGGTTCAGACCGGTTCAGACAGTTTTGACTAAGGTTCAGTGCTCCAGCAAGTAAAATCGGTCCGATTCAGTGATCCAACTAGCTTTTCTAACCCGGTTCAATGGTCCAAAGAGTTCAACCTATCCAGTTCAACGGCCCAGCTAGTTTTTCAACCCCGGTTCAGTGATTCAGTAGCCTTTTCTTCTTCGGTTCAGCAGTGCAGTAGCCCGGTTCAGTGATCCAGAGGGCTCATTCTGTCTGGTTCAGCGATTCAACCTAATTTTCTAGCCCAGTTCAACTGTCGAGTGGACTTCTCTGGTCTGGTTCAGTAGTCCAATGGACTCCTTTGGTCCGGTTCAATGGTCCAGTGGAGTTCTCCAATCCAGTTCAGTGAACCAGCAATCTTCTCTTCTTCGATTTTGCAGTGCAGTAGGTGACTCTCATCTGGTTCAATGATCTAGTGAGTTTATTTTTCTATTTGTTGCACTTATGGAACCCAAGCAAGACACTGGGTTAGTTACTATTACACGAGAGGAGTATGCCCAATTCTTGTCCCAGCAACAGACTATCCCATCTCCCTCCACTGCTACTTTTGCCCAGTCAAGTACTGCTTCCACTTGTTTATTATCCTCTACTCATAGTCCTTGGATCATAGACTCTGGCATTTCTGATCACATGACTGGTGCTTCTGATATTTTGTCTACTTATCAGTCTACTACTCCCACACGTAGTGTTACTCTTGCTAATGGTATTTGCTCTAAAGTTTCAGGTCTGTGGACTACTCACTTGAGCCCTGATATGTCTCTATCTTCTGTGTTATTTGTTCCTCAATTTTCTTTTAGTTTATTTTTCATTAGTAAGATTACTCATTCTCTCAATTGTTCTTTAACATTTTATCCCTCTTATTATGTCTTTCAAGATCTCAAGACGAAGAGAAACATTGGTACGGGACATAAAACTGGTGGTCTATATTACCTTGACTTTGATTTACCTACTCGGGCTCTACAAACCTCGTTGTCTCCTTTTCAATGGCATTATCATCTTGGACATCCCTCTCTTCAGAATCTAAAGCGCCAAGTTCCCAGTCTCAGTTATGTGTCGTCTTTGTCTTGTGAAACTTGTCAACTTAGTAGGCATCACCGTGTGTCATTTCAATCTAGAGTCAATAATCGTGTGTCTAATCCATTTGAGTTAGTACATTCTGATGTATAGGGTCCAATAAAGAATATTTTATCTAATAAATATCCTTATTTTGTGATATTTGTGGATGTCTATTCTCGTGTGACTTGGTTATTTTTTATGAAAGCTCGGTCTTAATTATTCTCTATATTTTAGACCTTTCATAAGGAGATAAAAACTCAGTACAGTTGTCGTATACGTTCTTTACGTTCCGATAATACTCGAAAATATGAATCTGATCATTTTTCAGCTTATCTTAGTAAAACCGACATTATTCATCAGACTTCTTGTGCTTATACCTCTCTTCAAAATGGTGTTACTGAACGCAAGAACCGTCATTTGTTAAAAGTCACCCGTGCCCTGTTATTCTAGATGAATATTCCCTCATATTTTTGAAGTGATACTTTTCTTACTGCTTGTCACCTTATTAATCGTATGCTATCCTCTGTGTTAAATGGGGGCAAAGTCCATATTCTGTCATTTTTCCTGGTAAGCCCTAATTTTTCCTGACTCCTAAAATTTTTGAATGTGTCTGTTATATTCACAATTTGGGTCCTGGGTCTGACAAACTTGACCCTCGAGCTACCAAATGTGTATTTCTTGATTACTCCCGTACACAGAAGGGATATCGTTGCTACAGTCCTTCTTTGCACCGATACTTTACAAGTGCCGATGTCACGTTTGAGAATCTGTTCCATATTTTCCAGCACCTTCTTAGCCTTTGGATATGAACTTTGGATCATTTCCTGTACCACCATCTCTTTCCTCATCTTCAGATATTCCATTGTCCACTGTGTTACTATCTACTTTACCTCTCCGTGTCTATTCTCGCCGTCCTTGCCCATCGACTGGGGTGCCCGTACCATCTTCCTTGCTACCTTCTAATCCTGGTACATCAGGTAATTTAGACTCTTTACCTATTACTCTTCGAAAAGGTACTCGTTCGTGTGTTACTAATCATTCCATTGCTCATTTTGTTTCATATGATGCCTTGTCTCCTGTCTTCTCTTGTTTTACTTCCCAATTATCTACTATATCTATTCCTAAGCATTTACAAGATGCATTATCTGATCTAGGTTGAAGAAAAACTATGGAGGAGTAGATGGATGCCTTACATCATAATGGGGCTTGGAATCTCATTCCTTTACATCCTAGTAAACAAACTATTGGTTGTCCTTAGATGTATACTATTAAATTTCATCCGGATGGTTCTGTGGAACATCTCAAAGCTCGGTTTGTTGCAAAGGGCTTGACTCAGACTTATGGTGTAGATTATGAGGAGACTTTCTTCCTGTTGCCAAAATTTCCTTTGTTCGTATCTTGATTTCTTTGGCTGCTAATCTTAATTGGCCCTTGTTTCAATTAGATGTCAAGAATGTCTTTCTACATGGTGACTTGGTTGAAGAGGTATACATGGAGCAGCCACCTGGGTTTACTGCTCAAGGGGAATATGGTAAAAGTGTATGTCGGCTAAAGAAATCTTTGTATGGTTTGAAGCAGTCACCGAGAGCATGGTTTGGTAAGTTTTTAGATACAGTTTTAGAGTTTAATTTTCTTCGATGTCAGACAGATCATTTTGTGTTTTATAGACAAACAGTTGATGGATATGTTCTATTGGTGGTCAATGTAGATGATATTGTAATTACTGAAAATGATTCTGAGGGAATTGCCAAGTTAAAAACATTCTTGCAAGATCGATTTCATACTAAAGATTTGATAAAACTCAGGTATTTCTTGGGTATTGAGGTGACTCGATCTAAATAGGGTATTTGTTTATCCCAGAGAAAATATATACTTGACATGCTAGAGGAAGTAGGTTTGCTGGATGGCAGACCTATTGATTTTCCTATAGATCCAAATCATAAACTTTAGATGGATGATGGTGCACTGTTTGAGAATCCGGGTCGGTATCGCAGATTGGTTAGAAAGCTCAATTATCTCACTATTACTCGACCGGATATTTCTTATGTAATCAATATAGTAAGTCAGTTCATGGGGTGTCCTAGAGTACCACACTGGGAGGCAGTTACTCGTATTTTGTGATATCTCAAACGTGCTCCTGGACTTGGATTGTTATATCGAGCTAATGGACATCTTAGAGTGAAAGGTTTCTCAGATGCTGATTGGACTGGCTCTCCTTCCGATCGGAGATCAACCACTAGTTATTATACTTTCTTAGGAGGTAACATTGTCTCATGAAAAGTAAGAAACAATCCGTGATAGCAAGATCCAGTGCTGAGACTGAGTATAGGACAATGGTACATACGACGAGTGAGTCGACTTGGCTACTATACTTCCTCCAAAAATTGGGTTTCCAGTTCAACTTCTTTTACATTTGTTCTGTGACAACCAGACAGCTATCCATATCGCTATCAATCCAGTGTTTCACGAGCGAACCAAACATATTGAGGTTGATTGTCACTTTCTTCGGGACAAGATAGTAGTTGGAGAGATTACAACTCCATTTGTCAAATCTGAAGATCAACTTGCAGATATGTTTACTAAAGCATTGAGTCGTACACGTTTTACAGCGATTTATTCCAAGCTTGGATTATATGATATTTATAGTTCAGCTTGAGGGAGAGTGTTAAGAATATTAGGGTAGTATATGTAAATTGTTAATAGTAAGAGGGTGTATGTATAATTCTTATTATTGTGAGTTAACTATAAATATAAATGTTGTATGAGAGTTAGGTTAAGTTTTTAACCTCTCTCAGTTTTCTCTCTAATATTGTGTTAGTTCTTTACACTTAACAATATGATTACACAAGAGACGTAAAAATTACTATTTCAACCATTATTTTCCATCATCTTGGCTTGTGTGAGCTGGTTGAATAGATAGCACTAGGGGTAAACAAGAAATGTTTGTTGGTCTCTTTATAATAGGATAACAAAGTCATACTAGTAGTACCAATAAGTAGCCTCATAACTGAACCCTCTAATGCCAGAATTGGAATTTTCAAACAATCTAAACTATAGGCTTGAAACAACATGATATTTTACTCATGCATTGTTTCTTTTTTTCTTTTGAACTGGGATTGTGCATTAGCTCAATAGTACATTTTCTGGTATGGACTTAAATTATGTAAGGTCCTCATCTGATTGTGTTAGTCCACTTCATACCAGATCCCCAACCAACTACCACTTGAGACAATCTCCCCCCCCCCCCCCCCCCCTTCCTCCCCCCAACTAGTTTTTCTTAAATGCAATGTCAATCATAATTATCTGGCATAAAATTGATGTTAATAGCAAGGATACCACTATAGTACCTAAAAAGGTTTTCGATACCACACCAAAAGTTAGTACTTTTAAAGATCAAATTACACATTAGGGTCAAGCATAGAGGCATCTAGTCGGCAATCTCTTTGGCTTAACCAAGAAGTCTTATGTCCTCCAAGTCGCACGGCATTTTAACCAAAAGAACTTCTTGTGCAACTCATGCCTCGTTGTTTTTATGACCAGAAATTGTTATGTATGGCTCTAACCCATCTAAGATTAATAATAAGGCAGTTCAGGAACTATTAGCTCCACTCAAGCTATGCCATCTCTTGCCTTTGGGCTTTTGCCCCTTTTCCATCGGTTGGAGGTAAGGGTTCTCACATAGATCTTCTATTTCGTCAAAATTCGTTGATTGCTCCATCCGAATTTACAATGGAAAAACACATGTACGTTGTAAGATTATCCAAGGAAAGGTTGGTCATAAATTTGAAAAGATTGTTTCTGCAATGAAACAAAGACCTTTGAGTGTTCCCTTAGAATGTTGGGTATAACTTACCATTGAATTTCCTGAACTTACAACAAGATAACATATACGTAGCTCAGTATAAAACAGATTTGTGGAAATGTCACATCATGCTGAGGAGTAAGTGACTACTGAGGCGAAAAAGTTTAAACGTTTTAAGTATGGATTGAATCAGGTGATCAGGGAGAGGATTTCACCACTTCGTATTCGGAATTTCAGTGAGCTAGTTGTAGTGGCTTATATCATAGAGAAGGGAATGAAGTCGAGGGAAGTAAGAAATGAACAGTCCCAGCATCAGGTGAATCAATCATGTGGATGTGACGAAGGTCAGCAGAATCACCCTGTATTTCCGACCAAGGGTAATGGAAATGATAGAGTAAATACAAAGGAATGGACAAAGGAAACACACAGGCTTGGCACCCCTATTGTAATTGCGAGAAGGTGGACCATATGAGAAACAGGTGTCCGCAGTTACAGTAGCAAAATCGGAACACTTATCCAAAGTATCAGAAGGGTGAGGCTTCATGACCATCAACAGCACGGACAGGTGCGCCGCAGAATCAGGGCAGTGGTAATCAAGGGAATCTTCGGAAGGGTCGTGTGCACTTCAATCAATTGTAACTTAGTTGTAACTTAATCTTTAAAAATTTTAGTTTTCATGCTCGACACAACATTTTAGGATTATTCATACTTTTTTGAGTTGTAATTTAAACTATTTTGAGTTTTAACTTCACTTTTAAATGTTATAACTTCGGTACAGTACCGATATCGATACCGTAGGAGTCCTTTAATAGCAATTATAGCGCCAATACATACTTTAGACGGATTACACTCCCAACTAATAGAAAAGACTTGCTGCATTAAGTTTGCATCCAAGTTCCTATTCCTCATAGCTTCATATAGTTACCAACTAACTAAGAATATCTTCATCAACAAAGCACGAGCCTTTTGGTACAGACATGACTTGTAACACTAACAGAAGACCAGCAAAATTACTCACTCAATCTTCTCACTTACCTTCCAATAATGAAGACAAGGCAGCCGCAAGCGGCAAGTTTTCAAACGAAGAAGATTCAAATTCCTCCACAACCGTCTCAAGAAAACTTCGAAAACCTGAGCAACTGGCCAGAGCCTGACATAAATTGTGCATAACAAAAATCGTAAACTAATAGAGCTCATTGACATCATTACAATCAAAAAAAATAAGAGAAACCCAATTGGTGATATCGATTGTACCTGTAAAATCACGTTCAAAAAGCAATTGTTTCCAAGATTTTGCAATCCGGGTACTACCCATAAGTCCTCCGAACTACAATTTTTATCGGATGACCATGGTAAGCTTTTGAAGTTTCTTACTTTACCATCCCTTAAAGCCAAGATGAAACCAGCAACACCCAATATACTAGCCACTGATATGGGAAACCCAGGAGCTGAGAACCAATTCATATGGGACAAGATACCAATACTCTGTCCGATTTTGGGAATTATTGATCGAATATCTATATTTCCTTCGATTTTCATATTGCTGGAGTCATATGGTTATGGTGTCCTTTGAGCACTCAAATAGATGACCGGTAAAGTATAATTCAAATAGAAAAACTTGCCATCGGAGACCATATGAATTGTAGCAAGCGTTTGGTTGGGGTTATGGTTCTAGCGGGTTACGATCCTGGAACAGACCGGACTTATGGGACAATAAGGCCCTCGTCGCGCCTAAAACACCTGTCGGATCACAATTATAGTGGTCAACCACCAAATGTGAGTAGCGCCCAACCTCAACGCGAGGAGGAAGACCGGTACCTTATTACTCCGCACTACTTGGTGGTATGGAAAGTATTTTTTAATTATTTGGTAGTAAAGAAAAAATGAAAGAAAAGGAATATATCTATTATCTATTATATTATATCTATAATCTTTAATCTTTAATCTTTAATCTTTAATCTTTAATCTTTAATCTTTAATCTTTAATCTTTAATATTTATAAATGTCAGCATCTACAAAAAAAATTTAATTTATTATTTTATCCCTAATTATTATAATAAAATTAATTATATCCACCTATATATTTTTATCTAATTTTAATTTTTTATTCTTGTTTGAATTTTAAGTTGTTTTGAACTCATTTATTAGCAGTATACTTATATATAATCTTCTATATTTATATGAATAAGTAAAGTTAAGTACATATTAAATTATTATATATATGTAATTATCAGATTAAATTTCATAGTCATATATATGTTATATTTTATTTTTTAGTAGAAAATAATATTATAAATGATCTAATCAATATATTTAACAAAATAAAATTTAATAATCCTATAATATAATTAATTGTGCAAATGCCTAAAACAAATGACAGATTAAGTACTCAAAAAAAATAAATACTCAATGACTTATAGAATAAAATAATAATTAAATTTAATAATAATTAAAATACAGATTAATTATTTAACATAAATTTTATTATTTAATTTAATTACACATATAATTTATCTTTTTTTTAAAAATATTATTTAAATTTATATATATGTAACGTACGTCATACATTACTAGTATATTAATAAAAACACTTTAATATGAAAACTTTTGATTCACTATTTTACTCCCATAAAAAATTAAAAAAGTTACTCTATCTATACACTCTTAATATGTAAATTATCATCATATCTCTATGCATTTAAATATGTAAATTACATCTAAAATCATTTTTAATGATATATTCCTTATGTATATATGTCAATTTTTATGAAATTTTTTAATTGATTATATTACTCTAAAAAAATATCTGCATCATTATAAATTTTATTAGTAGTATATATATTCCATATGTATAGATGTAAATTTTATGAAATTTTTTGATTGATTATATTACTCTTAAAAAATATATGAATCATTATAAGTTTTAACAAAAATATTCAAAAAAAAAAACCTTCAAAAATTTCATCCATATAATATTACTCACATCATTTATAAAGATAATATTATGACTACACATGTATATTTTATTTTTTATCAAAATGTTTAACCCTGTATATATATTTTATTTTTCGATAAAAAATAATGTATATAGAGTTTTACATAATTTTTTAGTCACAGTAAAATTTTCAGATTGTGTTAAAATTTTATGTGAAAGCTTGATTTTTTTTAAAAATTTTAATATGTTCTATAATATATATTGTAGCATTATATATTAAATTTTATCTCTATTGACCTAGATAATCCTAAATACATTAAGGTTCCAATATAATTGGTATATTGATAATTATTTTATTTTATTCAATGATTTATAAATCAAATTATTTTTTTAATTATCTATTCTCTATTTATAAATGTTAATTTTTATGAAACTTTTTGATTGATTATATTACTCTTAAAAATATGTGTATTATTATAAGTTTAACAAAATATTCAAAAAAAACCTTTAAAAAATCCATCAATATAATATTACTCATCTGATTTATAAATATAATATTATGACTACATATGTACATTTTATTTTTCATAAAAATATTTAACTATTTTATTTTTAAGATAAAAAATAATGTATATATAGTTTTACATGATTTTTTAGTTACAGTAAACTTTTTAAACTGTGTTAAGATTTTATGTGAAACTTTATTTTTTAAAAAACATTTTAATATACTTTATAATATATATTATAGTGTTGTATATTAAATTTTATCTCAATTGACCTAACTAATCATAAATACATAAAGGTTTCAATACAATTGATATATTGACTATTTTTATTTTATTCAATGATTAATAAGCGGAATCTTAATCAAATTAATTTTAAAAAATTTAAGTTTTAAACATTACTAAAAAATCACTTTTAATTACAAAATTCTAGAACAAATAGAACTTTAATTATTATTATTTTTTTTATCATTCTTCTTAAAATTAAAATAACAAAATCTTAAAAATTTACAAAGGTTTCAAAAATTCTATAGTCGAGCATGAGTGATGAAAAAATAAACGCACGTGGTGCATTGCTTGTATAGATTAAATTTATTATTATATAAGACGCTTGGTAGGAAATAGTAGATAGATTTTCTGTAACGCCCCAAAACTCACATTGGACGACATTACAATCTATAAACCATTCACATCATGAGAGCAACTAAATAATTTCATCATTAAAGAAATTTCATCCATCAGATATAGCATTTATAATATTATCCCAAAATAATAGGCCAACCACGGTCATTACATCCCAAAAAAATGTGATCGACTATGATAATTACATCCCAAAAAAATCACATTTAAACTTGCAGCGGAATAACAAAGAGTTAGTCTTTACAAAAAATCTCAAAAGAAATTTTCTAGTCTAACACCTATGAGGGTATAACTTTAGATATCCACCTCGGGATCCGTGAGCCCATCTAATGGAGCTCCCTAATGTGTCGGCTCCTCAACCCCGAGCTCTTCCTCTAGACCACAATCTGAAAAATATAGTTTGTAAGGGGTGAGCACGAAGCTCTATAGCAACATTCTCCCAAACTCATACAAGGTTTAGAAAGCATGTAAAAACAAGTCAGTCTCATTTTGCAAATATCATATATTAATTTTTAATAGAAAACAGGAACATTTCAATAGATCTCAAGTTTACACAATAGCAATAATTTAAATGAACAGTAGAATGAATTTTCAAACAATAAACTATTTCTAACCATAAGTCATTTCCCACAAGTTCTTGTAGAGTCTCATACCTCCACGAGCTATTGTAGGAAACTAATTCCACACAATAAATATGTTCTCATGTGTGTTGGTTGTTTCCCATGAATCTACACCACGACTCTACTTTGTTCACCCAACCATAACTACACAAACCACTTTAGGAAGGGTGTATATCGTCTCCCACAACATTGACGAATCCTTCTCATGAAAGGTATACCCACCCTCAGTCTCGAACTTACGTGAACAATAGTGGTTGCTCTCACAAACAACAAATCACTACAAGTGTTAGGAAATCATCTCACCCCCACTGAGATAGACTAACCTCTAACACTCTACGGCAGTGTTTGAATGCAATTCAAGTCCATCACAACAACCATACAAGAGATACAATTCCAATAATTTTCTCCAATAACAAACAATTCCTTAAATCTCCAATTTCACAATTTGTAATACAAGAAAACAAATTAAGAAAATAAGTAAGAGATCATCACAACATCATTTTATTACTCAACACCAAGCACTAAAATTTCAAAGTCAAGAACAAAGGGATAATTAAGAAGAAAGTCTATCTCTTTTGAAAATTAGGGTTTTATATCAAGAAAATGAGATTTCATGGGTATTCAACCCTAACTTTGTTTAAAACCCGCTAATAATTGAAAAAAACCAAGGAAAGATGATTTCATTGTATATATATAAGATTTAAAGCCAAAAGAATACATATAACTAAGCCCTAGCCTCAATGAACAAGAATGGAAGAAAACTCATACCTTCTTCTTCCTTAGTATTCTTGAAGAACTTGAGATTTGATCTGTCCCAAACTTGAATCAACCATTTAATATTTTGTTTTCCCTTTCTTTCTTCCTCTCTAAGTTTTTTTAGGGTTAGAAATGTTGAAATGAGGCTTAGGGAGGTGTCCTTAGGTATTTATAGTGGAAGAAAATGGTGTCTTGTGCACGATTTTTAGAGTCAGAACTCGTAACTGATGTTCGAACGTCCTTAGCTCCCAGTACTTTGGTTTTTCAATCAGACAAAAGTACTGGAACACACTGTCGTTCAAACGTCATTTCTGTTTCTCTTGGAACTTTCAGTACAATTTTGGCCTACTTAGAGGTTGATTTGAAAAATTTTCATGAAATACACTTTTGTATCACTAGAAGTCTACTATCTACTATAAAAATTTCAAATAAAATGGACATCAGGATAAAAAGTTATGATCTAAATACTAGACAGTGTCCAAAAGTATTTTACTCAACTTCTCTCTAAAGTGTGCTTTCATTCCGGAGTACTTCCAAACTTCTACAACATACCCTATTACCTCAACTAACATTTTTATTTCTACTCTTACAATCTACATAGTTTATGCATACATCATTACATATTTTAGCATTTCAAAAATATAATTACGTTGTTATATAAAGATACGAATGTGGCGGTTTGCATTTTCTATATCAAAATAACGCGTTTTATTATATTTTGTAACAAAATACTTTTTTAATCACAATTTATTCTATGGGCTTGTTAAATGAGAGAGTGGTTATTGGGATTCAGTTGTCCAACTAAACATCCTTACTAGATTAGATTATCTTCAAGTTGTCTTCTTTTTCTCTTGAAACTGCCATGCATGGGTTTAATAGTTGAGAAAGGAATAAAAGGCAAAAAAGTAAAATTACCATGAATAGCTTGACTTCTCTCCTTTTTTTTTTTCTATTTTTTGCCCAAATTTGAACAAACAAATTTTGGTGGGCAAGGAAGAAAGAGAATCCTTCTTACTTTTTTGTCCATCCTATTTTTCCCCTCAACCAAAAAGGCGAAAACTTTTTCGTTCTATCCAATTTTTCTT